ACCCCAAATCCCAGTGCCACCTGACTGTGCACTCCAAACCCAGAAGGTGATGGTGGATGCCCTGCTGAGGCCTTGCTCTCTCCTTTGGGAAGGAGAAATACAAACTGAGCTCTTCCAAGCAAGATGATGCACAAACAACCCATGCAAGGTACAGTCAGATCAGCAAATGTTCTGCACACCCACAGAGGGGCTGATCCTCTATCCAACACCCTCCACCGGCGGTTTCCAGGGGCAGCAAGCTCCAAAATAATAGTCATGTACCCTGTCAAAATAATCTCCTTTCATCAGTGGTGTATTTAGTGTTCACTCCTAGAGTGGGTACTTGCATGTTCAGAAGAAAGAAATAAAGACCAATGGACTTCCAATGAGAGAAATAGAAATGCTATAAAAACATTCATTCTAATAAGTTTAATTGCTTGTCTGGGCCACTCATGGAGTTCTCGTCATTGGACTAAATTAAAGTCACTGGATATAAATAATTTTTCATATTGAGTTTTCATCCAGCATCACGTGGTAGGCAGACAAGAGACTCAGAGACACAAAGTCAAAATTATCTGTAGACACTACCTTCAGCTTAGTGGGTTACACCCTGGATGTATCTGTCTTTTATTTTATGCAGAAATGAATAGTTTATTCTGTTAGAATGTTCAGCTTAACTTCTTTTCAGATACACTTTAAAGAGCAGTATTTTTTCTAGTAAAGGGTGGGTATGTTAAAAGTAAGTATTCTTTACTTTAAAATAGTTTTTAGTAGTAATTTCTTATTTGTTTAGATCAAATATCTTAACAGCAACAACTGGTCCACTTTCTCCTTTGTGTCATCTGTCATTCCATAACACTGCCACCTAGACAAGGACCAGCTGTACACATTTCCAATGTATTATATATTATCATCTATTTTTTCTCTTCAGATTTATTGTTACTATAGAGACACTGTAAGTCAAATTCTTCCAAAGCAGAAAGAACACGATCTGAGACAGAATCAAGACATTTGAGTTTTTCACTTTGCTTACAAAACTTAAGCAACAGTGCAGAAGTTTTCCTGCTTTACTATTACTCGTATTAATAGTAGTACTACTACACTACTTGTCTCCCTTCTCAAATCAAATTCTTCTGCTCTGGAAACCACAGCACCCTGCCTTTAAAAGTTTAGTGTTAACTTTTTCCAAATACAATTATCAAGGCACTCCAACACTTTTTCAGGTGAATTGCAAAGGAGAAAACATAATAAAAATCACATGCACATTCTAGGTGTCCCTTGTACAAGGCTGCAAGGTAGAAATGAGCTCCAAATTTCTCAAAAAAAACCCCAGAAACCTAAGAGCTTTCACTTCTCAAGAAATAGCCCCTAGTGCCCCACACCTTGGCTCTGACATGTACATGGCACACACCACAGCAGGAAAAGGGAAAAAGTGCCCACAGGACCTGATGGAGGGGAAGGACAGAAGGCTAAGGCCACAAGACTGTTTTGGTGACCACTTCTAAGAAGTGTTTCGATTTGAGTGTAACAGGAAACAGAAGAAACTTCTGTCACCAGCATGTCATGTCTGAACGACACAAGCAGTACACATACCTCTGGGAGGTTTGGGTCAACCCTATTTGTCCAATATGGGAAGCAGCCTTTCCATCAGCCTCATTCACCCCAACTGCAGTGCTGAAAGAGTCCAGGGAACTCCCAGTAGAGAGGAAGGAGCTCAGTAATTACCAGAAAACATTAGTAACCTGTGTGTCTATAGCTGCATAGCTCCCCTTTTGACTCATTCACGATGTGTTAGAAAAACGCAGATGGTTTGTGATTTGTACAGCTGATGAATCACTGTACCTCTTTCCTCCCTCCCCAACGGCTTCTCTGTGTATCTTCACGTTCCCCAATGAGATGCACAGATTGGAGGATAACATGCTACAAGCAGAGCAGCATAATGTCTCCTCCCACAGGATGGTTTTACCTGTGGCCCACAAGCACTGCTGTTCTCTCCTGTCCCCATTTCCCTGTCCACTCGCCAACACATTGAACTCAGCAGCTATCTCTTCAAGTTGTTTTGACTGACACTGCTTACACAGCCTGAACCTCTGTACTACTGAGAAAAGCTTCAGTACACAGTGATTTTGCCTTATAAAACACCAAGTCTGGCTTATAAACTGTAACAACCAAAAATACTCATTTCCTGAAAGGAAGCTCTTGAGCTACAGTACCAGATGCTATTCAAAGAAGAAACCCAAAGCTGGGTTTGGGGTACAAAGATGTCTTGAAGCCCACCACACTGAATATTTGCACAGCAATGGAAACATTTCCACCTCAACACTTCCACAAGCAGGAATTTAAACACACCTCTTTCAAAACAAGACCACTCCTGGAAACTGCCACACAACTTTTCACAGGACCTGAACACCCAGTGACCTCCAAACTCAGTCAGGGGATACCAAACAAATCTGATGTCCAAGGCACTTCAGGGCAGCTCTAATTTTAAGCACAAAAAGAGTCAGCTGTTGGCCTAACTTACAGAGTTCAGTGACCTGCTCTATCAGGAAACTCCTGTGATACAGATGAACCCCAACATTTCTAGGAAAAGACATTTCCTTTCTTGAACCTGACTTGATTTTTTCATGACTGATCTTCTAGCCAAGACAGAGACAAAAAGCAGCACGTGGGAAAGTTGGCTGTTGCTGGTTAAGAGGAGTGAGATGCTAAAGAGAATTGCATCAGTCTGATCTCCTGGGCTTCCTGGTGATGAGCAGATTTGGTTCAACTGAGGAGCACTGCAAATATCATGCTGTAAATAATTTTCACTCACTCTCATCCTGTCGCATTTTACATTACCTTTTGTTGTGCTCTACTTGCTTAAAGGAAAGGCTGTTTTAAAAGTGGTCTTGTATCAGGCTGTGAAAAACAAGTTCCACATTTAGAGGCTTTCCTTCCCTACAAGCAGTGAGGTGACCTCCACCCACCACATAAAACAAGTATCTTTTCTAGGTCCCTTCCTCTCATGTAGGAGTCTGCCTTGGATAGTTAATGACCCATGGTGATCAGAGGATCCCACTGGTCCAGAATGTGGAGGCTTTACAGCTGTTGAGATACCTATGCTCACAGCAGACTTGTGAGTTAAGGCACCACTGTTATTCCCATTGCTCAAATGGGCAATTAAGGCATGAAGAAGGCAAGGCAGGGGCTTTGCTAAATGGCCAAGTCAGTCAATTTACAGCTTGCTGCCACTGAAACTGGGTATCAGAGTGCAAAAATCATGCCTTACCCAAGGTCTTCGGCAGGGCTGGAAACTGCATCGAGGTTTTTGGCTACTGCTCCAATCTCCAGTAAATTCAGGTTATCCTCCCAGCTCACAAGTGGAAAATATTTAACAGCACCTGGGAAAACGGCTGGTACTCTTAGATTAGGTTCCAGCAAAAAAGCACAGAAGTCACAAAACCACCACAACTTTCACCAGGAGGTTCATGGGAGGAAGCAGAAGTCTAAAGATAAAAGGTCTGAACTCCTCTGCCTCATTTCAGAAATCGCTCACTGGGGCAGGTGCAGGTGCACCTATACAAGAGAGAAGCTTCTCTACTGACGTTGCTAAACCTCCTCCTGTCCTTACACAAAATAAAAGTTGCCTTCCTCTACAGCTGCTGCAAAGCCTATCATTAGCAAACCACATCAATTCCTCCTGGTCTTGCTTTGCTTGAATCCTGCAATTCAAGAACTCTTCCCCTTTCCACTTTTCGCCAAAATTCTGTGGAAATAAAAGTATTTTAGGGACGGTTTCCCTGTGATGGAGATCATCTTGTGGCAATCCCATCTCACACAAAGTCTGTGGGCACCATCAATACACTTGTTCCCTTCTCTCTCCAGAGGCCCTGGATGAGTTGACCCACACCATTTTCAGTCAAAAGCATACATTTTGTTCTGCTTGTTGGTGATGCAAGCTAAGCATTCATCGCATTATCTCCTGGTCAGTTCCTCAGTCAGCTCCAAGCACAAATCCTGAAAAAGCAACCATCTAAAAGATACTTAGTTACACCACTGCTATGCCTATGATTGCTGAAGTTGCTTTATTACATCTGCTGTACTTCATCTCTTGCAATCCCCACTCAGATCACCCCTACACATAAATTCCTCTTTATTACCTTCAAGTTTTATCTCAGCACTTTGATTTCCAAGTGTATTTAATTATTTCTCCTTCTCTCAGTAAGCACCCAGTTCTCATACACATGCAAACCACTTTGTTTTAGCATACCCCTATAAACTGTGAGACAGAGAACCTACCACACGTTCCACAGAAGAGTCTGAGAGACAAACAGCAAGTCCAGCAAGATCCTTTTGAAACATTTACATGCTTTCCTTTCACGGCAGATTACATAACACTTCCTTTAGCTTACTGGGCATCTAAGGCATCTAATACAAGACCAAGACACCAGCTCCTGTCTGCCATCAGAAACCAGCTGAAGCATCACTGATGTTCCAGATGTCTACACCCTATGAAGTGTGAAAACAAAAGCTGTTTGAGGTTATTCACCAAGTAACACTATTCTAATCTCTTCAGTCGTCCAACAAATACACTCCTAATCAAATATTTATTTTCCTTAGGAAAATCACTGATTATAAATATAATTTTTAATTAAACCCCCCAAAAGTCAAACGAGACCCCCAGAGTCAGAAAGCCTTTCAAAACTGTGCTTACTTATGGGGAAAAGGCCTGTCTTGTCACACAGGATGCTGAGGTTTCAGGTGGGGTATAAGAGTTTAAGTGTCCCTACAGGCACCTGTCAGGCAGGCACACAAACGCCATTTTCCCCCTGAAGATCACGGGATCAAACGAGCTTCCTCTTCCTCCCTGCAGCACCCGTGGCTGCTGCAGTTTGTCACAGGACAGAGCCACTGCCCTCTGTGCACTGTAACAGTTTTGCTGCCGGGAGAATTTGGCACGGCCACAAAGGACCTTTGTCCGTGCCAGAAGTTGAGCACACAATGCAATCCTTCCCCCTTGTCACAGAGTCGGGTTTCCGTAGCTGGGTTAGAATCGCTCTCCCAGTGACTGCAACCCACAAACCCAAACACTTTCCCCCTCCCCAACGTGAGATCTCCTTCCCGTACCAAGTGCTGCAGGCCAGCAGAGTCGCTGCTTTTGGGAGCCTTCAGTTCTGGTGGCCTCTACCCAGACGTGCTGCAAGGATGAGTCTGAGTGAGTGCCAGAGCTCTGCCCTCAGCCTCTGCACAGCTTCTTCCACCTAGATACTACAAGACCACCTGAACATAAGGGTCTCCAATTTCCAGGTATACTCTTGTCTTCAAGAGTCCAGAAACTGGGCAGACTGATCTGATCTCATCTAACAACATGTGACTCCTTTTTTGCAACATTTCCCAGTTTGTGCTTGATCTGCCAGCCTGTGTATATATGCCTGCATGTATATATAACTTTTTTTTCCATGCAGCACCTCTGAATCCAGCCTGTCCCACGCTTCCCTCAACTGATCCTTGAAATGAGGGTCCCTAGGCCAGGACAAGAGATGCCAGCACCTTGGAGCTCTGGGAAAGGATGCCAATGTGGGATGTAGGGGACAGAGGATGAGCACGCCCCAACACTACACTGCTGGAAAAAAGTGGGATTTAGCAGGATACAAATGTTTCTGTGTTTTCATTTCACTCCAGAAATACAAAGAGGAAATGATTACTAAATAATTCACAAACTATTTAATACCCCAGTTCAAAAGAACCAGGGATTCTTCTGGAAATACACAGTGAAAGAGTGTGAAAAGGATATTTGGAAGTACAACTTGATATGTATTAAAAAATAGCAGGAATTGGCACAGTTGTAAATACAGGATTAGCACAATCCATGCCTTTGGAGACTTTTTCCAGCACACGATACAAAGAAGGACATGTTTTGTTTCTTCTCATTTTAAGCATCAAGGGATATTGATGAAACCAGTTCCTACTTTCATACTGAGTGTGATCTGGACCATCCATAGCCTGGATGCTTTGGCACAAAACACCCCTGGAACACCCCTTACAATCCCAAGCCACAAAAGGAACCATGTTTCACATGGAGAAATCATTACCATATTGAGGAATAAAATGCCAAGGAAAACAACAACAAGAGAACTGGCTAAACCTGCCATTCATTTATTTCTAACCAGTGGAAGAGTTTGCCATCAGAACACCTAAGCGTGACAAAGTACTTGGCAGTTGCCTCCTCCCATCTCCTCCCACACATTTTAATCCCAGCACACTCAGTATTCCCAGCTCTGGCTCAGAGAGTCAGCGCAGGCATCAGCCTCTCTGTCTCCCTGGTGCTTGCATTTCCCCTAGGGCTACTTCACAGCTCCTCCAGATGAAGAAACTGTAACAATGATGCTTGAGCAATACTTGAGAAATGCAGAAGAGGAGGAGAAGTGCTCCATAAACCAGTTTCTCACTGAAGGGTATTTGCTAAAATATTTCTTTTAGGAATTTTTTAAAACTTGGTTTCTCCTCCTGCTTCTGGGATGTCAGGACCAGGCCTGCAGCAGCATGCCCAGGGCTTATGCTCACCCCAACCATCTCTAGCAAATCCTCCTCTTTCCTGCTCTCCCCTCAGAGCTGCAAAACAGGCTCCAACCACCCAGTCATCAAAATCCAGTGTGACACTAACATTCAGTATTTGTTTGCCAAAAGACATGTGGCTCTCTTTCCAAGGGAAGGAACAAAAAACCAACCAAACAAAAAATCCTTAATGTCATAATTTCAGGACACACTGATTCTGTGACCAGCTTGCGTTAATTTAGATGGTCACCTGGTTTTATAACGTGTGTGGAAATTCTTCTCTCAAAAAGGACCAGTCACCAAACACTCCACTCTGAACTCTGTGCGACGTGGCAGCTCTTTCCATGGCAACCCACCAGCACCAGCGTGCTTTCTCCACAGCCTGTGCTGCACAGAGGAGGAGGGCAGGGAAAGAGCCTGCTGCAAAGCTCCGGCTGTCGCTGCCATCCTGGCAATCCTGTCACCCCGGGAACCACACACACCGGGGACAGGCAGCACTCCCGCAGCCTCACTGCTCAAACGAGCCTTAGCTCCGACTGCTAGCCAGCTGCGAGGCCATTCGCACGTTGGTTGGTTTGCTTGCTTTGTAAATCCCAGTCAATGTGTTTTGTTTCCTAAACAACATGAAATACCACCTCTGTAGTCCCCAAATCATTCTCCACACCAGAAGGGAGTGGAATTCAGGCAACTGGACCGTGCTCTCAGACAGTCTCCACATGCAACAGCAGGATGCTCACTGGGGGCATCTTCTGGAGGACAGACAGAGCTGCCAGTGCTGTGGGCAGCCTGGCCGGTGTGGAGCGCAGGCAGGGCACCCACGAGCTCCCTGATGTTCTGCTAGGACCAACCACACACCAGTGAGGCTCTCAAGCTTGTCTCTGCAACTACACATTCTCCTTCTAAACACGCCCCTTGCCCGTGCCCTTTGATGAATACTTTGGCAGTTCAGCTCCCCACGCACGTGGGAGCTAAGATCTTGCCTTTGGCTAGTCCTCAAGCTAGCCATGTAGCCAAACCTCTTGTGTAACTACAGGCAATCCAAAACTGACCCCAAGCCAGCTCCCCAGGACTTCCTTCCCTCCACCTCATCTCAGGCACTCCCTCCCTGTCTTGTCACCTGCAAGGATGCCTTAAACACTGTGACAACCCACACTGGAGTCGTCCTGGGTTATTTCTCCTGAAGCTTTATGTGAAAATTTAACTACACAGCAGTTTCTGAAGTTTAGGAAAAACTATATTCCACAGCAAGAGCTGATGCTGTTATTTGAAGTCACCTGATCCTAAAATCCAAATAAGAAGCAGGAAAGGGGACAAACAATAGTGCCATCAGTAAAGCTGGAGATGGCAGAGACTTGAAACTAGATCTCAGAGGAGTATTCATCAGCCATGACCTCTCATATCATCTGGGTTTCAGACCTCTTTCCCAACAAAAGCATTGACAAAACAGACGCTTATGTGGAGAGCTTCATTTCCAGCGTATCAGCTGCCTTCTGGCAGGGAAATACTCATTCATGAATATTTCCTGAAGCAATTCCTACCTCAAAAGACTTTTGTGACATTCAGGGAACTAGGTCAAGACTTATTTCATGCTTCTCATCTGAAAGAGGAGCCCAAGAAAAAAAAACTTAATTACTGAATTACTTTTGTCTTTTCTCCCCAAAATTCCTCTTCTTGTCATGATTTCTTCGCCTTGTGGAAGTGATCTGCATCTTCTCCAGCACCTTTTGTCTTCTCTACCCTCACCAAAACGTTCACAGAGTGAAGAAAGCTTAGGCAGAAGAAACCAGACAAAATATTTACAGAGTTCCTGGCTTGTGTGGTCTCTAGAAATGCTCCAGAGAAGCAGTCCCTGCAGAGAAGGCCTGCTTTGGGCTTGGAGGAGAATTGGGCCATAAATGACCCAATTCATTCTGTTTCCCTGGTATGTCCTTTGGACTCACAACAGTAAATTAAAAGGTAAAAATCAGAGGGGAGAGAAAGGGAACAAACAAGGAATCCTTAAAATCCCATCTTGCTCATGCAGGTGTTGGGCTTCTGCTGCCTTTTTGAAAAAAAGATCATTTCTAAAGCAAAGTTATCCCATGTGCAATACTGCAAGAGGAGGAAAGAGAGCCAGGAAGTAGGAAAAGACTTCAGAGCCTGCGATGGAAAATCCTCACTTGGTCACTGAGCAGTCCTCTTGTAACACTTATTTTAATAAAGTGAATATGATGAAACACAGCCCAGTTGTACACAACGCTGCTGAGAAATTGGATCCGGCTGCTGAAACTGGCTCTCAAACCCCTCCTCTCCAAATACTGGCAGTTCACATCAGTTAACTGCATCCAAACCACCCCCAGACAAGAAGGGGCAGGAGAAACGAGACAGGATGGGTTGCCCCACATTTGATTCATCTTCAGAGCAGGGCCACTGTGTAAATCTTTACTGGTCTCTTTTGTCACTTGCCAAGGTTCAAACGTGGCATCTCTGGCTATTCCCTAATGATGAAAGGTGACACTAACTAAAAGACTTCAAGGACAATGTCTGTGGAACTTGGCCTTAGCTAATGCATGAGCAAATGAGAAAACAGCCTTAATATTAGGTATAAAGAAGCAAATTAAGAAAGGGCCTGATTTTTCTCATCATTTGCTTTTAATTCTATATCTTATTCTTTTAAAACTGAATTCAAACAAGAACAGACATATTTTCTTCCTTTTGTGGAATAAATCAGCTGAGGTCAGTGCTTTCAGACCAACACACGAAAGCAGATGTGTCTGAGGAAATTCAGTGCTGGCTCATTCCTCCTGTAGAAAGGATAAAGAAAAATCATCCTGGCATGTCAGGTTTGTTCCTTTGAAGGCAAAACAATTTAGGGTTGGTATCAAGATGGCAGGAACTGGAGGGAAAAAAAACAAACAACAGGCAACCCTGTCCAGACTGCCCTAAAATATCTGTTCAGGCTTTAGATGCTGAACAATAAAAGAGCCTCTGTGGCTCAAGTCTGCACTGAAGAGTAGTGAGGTGAAAGGCATCCTTCCTTGCTCTCTGCTTGTATGGTGGCTGAGCACTGCTGCTCTCCTCATGTCCCTTGCCACAGACATGCACACCAAGACCAGGGCAGCACAGGAAGAGAACCACTAATTATATGACCCACTGAAATGCTTCTGGATGGAATCCACACCTGATGTTTCAGAGGAAACAAAGCACAGCCTGAAACTTGTGAAAACAAAACTGCACAGAAAAAAGTCACTCAGATTTCATTCAGATTTGGAGAAATCAAGAAGGTGTTGGTAGAGAAAAAAAAAAAAAGTCCTTGGACAGCCCCATTTCAAGATGCAGGTATACACACAATGTGTACTAAGCTATATTAAACCAGCACATGCCAGTGCTATTTCATTAGAGTGTAAACAGCATCAGGAAAGAAACACCTTTCAGCCTGGCCCTCCGCTTGCTTTCAGTCCCAAGTGATTCATAAGAAGGGCTGTCTGAAGATGCTCAGTAGCAGGTCAATCTTTCCCAGCAGGCAGAAGAGCTATAAATCAATTGCTTTAAAAGAAAAAAAAAGAAAAAAAAAGAAAAAAAAAAAAAAAAAAAAAAAAAAAAAAAAAGAAAAAAAGGCAAGAAAAAAAAAGAAAAGCAAAAAACCCCTGAGGCTTGCTAGGAAGAAGTAAAATTGGGGGGAAAAGAGAGGTAAGATGAAAAGAACCTGTAATCTCTTTAATGCAGCACTGAACTTCTTCTGAACAGAAAGCACAGAAATGATAAGAAAAGGAAAGAAAGGGAAAGAAGAAAGCAGCCCATTGACACTAGGTACAGATTTTTTTTTTAATGGGCATTAGGTCAGCAGGGCATTTTCCATCTGCCCTGCTTAAACCAGATGATGTTACAGGTGTGATTTTAATACAGCATTTATCCTGGTGGGACTGTAAGTTTGTTTTATGTGTGTGCACATGGATATTTGGATGGGTTTTCCTGAAGGGAAGGGCAATTTGTAGGCAGATGATGAAAACAGCAGGTGCTGGGTTGCACCTCTACCGATTTTAGGGCTGCTTAGAAGACAGAGAGAAAGAAATCATCAGCAACAAAGGGCTATGAGGGCTTGGAGAAGAAGGGGA